TCATTATAAAAATTGTACGCCGCTAAAATACAAATAAACAAAAATTACCTCTGAAAAAAAATCTTGCATAAAATTGTCAGCACCATCTGCGGTTGCATGTTAATTCTAACGCTACCATCTTCAATGATAACGGATTCGTCGTCCCCTGTAAGTGAGTGGGCCTGGAAGAGAGTAAGACAACACTGTATTGCGTATGCGTTGTGTACAACATATGGGACCTATATCGAACATGACGCGGCGTGGAGTCTATAAACGTTTTCATTTTTGTCGATTTAACCATGCCTTGCACCACATACGGGACATGTTTCTATTAAGTCTGAACTACATAAATAGCGACGTTTATAAATTACTGGGGGGAAAATAATTAGAGTTTTCCTGACGAATAATGGAAAAGCCTAATTTCGTTTTACCATACACCTTAGTTTTCTGAGGTCAGGCCTACTATATGTATACGTTTGGGGTCTACTTCTAAACCGTTGTATATCTCCCATTATATTATATGTGTATATTTCATGTGTATATAGAAGTGAGTGAGCCCCAAACGTGAATAACATACATTAGGGATAAATCCTCAGGCTGTTGTCAACAGAAATCGGCAAACATCGCGTTTGTAATTGTGGACATAGACTATAATGAAGAACATTGCGCCGTGTATTTTGGATTCAAAACAAATGCGTGATTTTTTTCCCCAGAATTACGAAACGACAGCAAAAAATAACTACATTCTGGAATTGCCTGCTTGTTAATCTGAAAGACCCTCAACACGCAATCGGGCGTACTGCACTAATTTCAATTACTGATATCGATTAAGACGTTTTTAATGTTGTCGTCAAATGAAACTACTCGAAGTAAGACCAAAATCATAGTTGGCAGTATAACCAGGGGTCGGCTGTTATACCCACCGTATCCCGGCATTTTAGCTACCCTGTCCCAACATTATACCCACAGTGTACCGCATTATACCCACATTGTACCGGCATTATATTCACCGTGTCCAGGCATTTTACCCACCGTGTCCCAACATTATACCCTTAGTGTCCCGACATTATAGCCATCATGTCCCGACATTATACCCACACTGTCCCGGCATTATACCCACAGTTTCCCAACATTATACCCACAGTGTACCGGCATTATATCCACCGTGTCCCAACATTATACCCACACTGTCCCGGCATTATACCCACAGTGTCCCAACATTATACCCTTAGTGTCCCGGCATTGATTATAGCCATCATGTCCCGACATTATACCCACACTGTCCCGGCATTATACCCACAGTGTCCCAACATTATACCCACAGTGTACCGGCATTATACCCAGCATGTTCCGGTATTATACCCATAGTGTCCCGGCATTATATCTACCGTGTACAAACATTATACCCACATTGTCCCGGCATTATATCCACGATGTCCCGGCATTATACCCACCGTGTCCCAACATTATACCCATAGTGTACTGGCATTATATCCACATTGTCCCGGCATTATATCCACCGTGTCCAGGCATTTTACCCACCGTGTCCCAACATTATACCCTTAGTGTCCCGGAATTATAGCCATCATGTCCCGACATTATACCCACACTGTCCCGGCATTATACCCACAGTGTACCGGCGGCATTATATCTACAGTGTACCAACATTATACCCTTAGTGTCCTGGCATTATGGCCATCATGTTCCGACATTATACCCACACTATCCCGGCATTATACCCACAGTGTCCCAACATTATACCCACAGTGTACCGGCATTATAGCCATCATGTCCCGACATTATACCCACAGTGTACCGGCATTATATCCACAGTGTCCCAACATTATACCCACACTGTCCCGGCATTATACCCACAGTGTCCCAACATTATACCCTTAGTGTCCCGGCATTGGTTATAGCCATCATGTCCCGACATTATACCCACACTGTCCCGGCATTATACCCACAGTGTCCCAACATTATACCCACAGTGTACCGGCATTATACCCACAGTGTCCCAACATTATACCCACACTGTCCCGGCATTATACCCACAGTGTCCCAACATTATACCCACAGTGTACCGGCATTATACCCACAGTGTGTCCCGGCATTATACCCACAGTGTACCGGCATTATACCCACAGTGTACCGGCATTATACCCACGGTGTCCCAATAATATACCCACATATGTTTTGTGTGATGCGGAGTACAAACTCAAATCACAAGTGCGTATCTCTCCGCTGGAGGGCGCGATGCCCTATTCGTGTGGACGGGAGAAACATTTCCATTTAATAATACGTTGATATTTATACTGGTAGTTAGCGTTGTAGTAATTTCGTGAAATCTCCGCCAAATATGGAACACTGCCTCAGTGAGTCACCGGGCATACGCATCAAATAATCAACAATGAGTCAGCGTATAGGCATTGTGGTGGCTGTTAAACGCTTGACACTCGTATCCATAATCAAAATAAAGCACGTCTAGATGTTTTGCCATTAAATATGGTATTCTAAACGCTACCCCTTTAAAATCACGAAGGCGTCTTTTTTTAACGTCCTCGGCTGGGATCTGAAGTCATAATCGAGTCAAATGATATTTATCACGTGGGCCGTTCGTGGCCCTCAAAATAACAACAGCGTGTCGACCATCCCACCGACTCCGGCAAAAATAATGTCATCACTGCGATCAATGCTTCAGTATGTATCGTCTACGTCAAATTTTGATTATTATTACCACCTACCTCCCTTAGGTCTGCTAGTCTGTCTCTCATTGTTGACTTGAGTTCCGCCTAAAAATCCTGAACACAAGGACACGTTAACCCTGCTGATAAAAAACCGGCGGTAGTTTCCGCGTTGTGTCCGTCCGGTCACCGTCCGGTCACCAGCCGATAACGTGATAATACTGGTTGTAATAAGAGAACGAAAGTAAAATAACAATCGTTAAAGTCGGATATTTTGATTTGTCCACCTATTCTATTTCTTCAGTTCATTCTAAATATGACGAAACTGCCCTTTGACCCATAACAGGCGACTCCCATTCATTGGGTTAATATTTAACATTTGGGATCATGGTAATATTGTAAATAAAATTAAATCGGTCGGTCGGTGAGGGCACAATACCAGTTTGTCCAGAGAAACCGTATCTAGTTGCAGAAGCAGCCTTGCTATCACTTCGCTGACTAACTATGATAGCAGCAGTGCCCGTTACCGTTTCTAAATCTATTAAACAAAACGAAAGTGGTTTGACTAGCTTACGCAAATTGCGAAAGCAATAATCCAACTGTGGGTACTAAGTATACTTGTGACAGATGAGACAACGGTGTAAACAATTTTGTTTTCAAATAATTTAGGATAACAAAAGGTACAACATATGTTGTTCCTAAGTACGAGAATCACTGAAAACAGGCCAGACCAGAGGAGTTTTTAGACCAGGTAGTTAGCCAATCCGACAATATAAAGTAAGGCCCACGGAATTGAAGTTAGCAGTTATCTCGAACCCGTCATGCTATATTAAACTGTGCACGCAAAAAGTTATATAACCAAACTTACCCTGCAAATCGAAACGGATTGACTGCTTAGCACACGTATAATCGCCATTTTATGTCGTTTTCAAACATAAAACGAGCGCGCTCGCTCGAGCAATGGAAATTGGAACGTTCAAGTATCCTCGGGGGCGGAGCTACGTCACGAACGTTCTACGTTGCTAAGACGCGCACCATTGTACCACGTATTTCTATGGGCTTTGTGCGCGCTGCTGTGGAACGCCGGTGGAGCCGGTGAAAACTCGAGAAAACAACACAAACTCCACTTTGAAGTAATCCCAAACAACCAAATTCATATATGTTACACACGTAGGGCTAATCTTGTTACACTGTTCAGGGGACTCTCAACAACCATCGCAAAGTACCGTTTTCTGCGAGTTTTTGGTCTTTGTTTTAACCGCGAGGGTTGCCAGGCGGTAGAAAATGCCCGGATGCCCGGATTGAATGAGGATACCCCGGGTGATATGAATAATTGGGAAGAAGTGCTGATCGTTTGTGTTCCCTTTATGATTTGAAAATTTTTATATCATATTGTGGCCACTTTAATATTTTTGTGTATGTATATATTGTACACTGGGGACAGCCGTTTTTATAGCAATGCTAAATCTCGTATCAATTTTCTACAGCGTTCTTACCGCACGGGGCCCTGGGAAGGAGAATGAACAAGATGATTCTATTCTAAGAACACCTTGAAACGCGCCACCAACCAATAAAAATTAATCGAAGGAAAGACCGCCACTTCACAATGGAAAGGAATCTACACGACGCCGACACAATGTCATTGATTCATTTTCCGTGGATCATTTGTTGCGGAGTTGCACACACGCGTGGTAACGATTTCTCATCATCTTTCGTCGCATTCTTGTTGGTTAGAAGATGGGCGGATGTTTCTCAAAAGAAATCAACTTTGCAAGGCCGGGGACGCTAAGTAAACGGAAGATAAAGGCATGTAGCGAGTTACAGCGATGGCAACTTGTTCATGACGCTATTTTGAAAAACGATTTAGCGACCTGTGAGAAACTGTTAAAAGCCGGTCATCCAGTAAACGACCCATTAATGGTGCCTGAGGCGAGTTGGTCAACTCTCGTCGACTGTGGTGGCGTACGACTCATACACGCCGCAGCCTTACACCGGAGACCACAGATATTGCAACTGTTACTGAACTTCGGAGCAGACCCAAATATTCTCGACGATTTAGGAAGATCAGCGTTACATATCTCAGTCATGTACTGGCCAAATTTTCGCGACGAGGTTATAGAATCGTCATCGACAGTCAGCAGAGAAAAGGAAAGTTATCGCCGCTATGCTGATTCGATAAGAAATCGGTCAATTGAGTGTGTGGAATTATTATGTAAACACGGTATTGATGTCAACATAGTGAGTGATCTCCATCCACCGCCTATTCACCTAATAGCCAGTTTTGATGCTGTTGACATTTTACACACAATTTGTGAGTACGGAGCCGATGTAGACCTCAGGGACAAGACGTTGCTATACACCCCTATTTTTGTAGCAACAAAAAACGGCAACGTACGTGTGATGAAGGCACTCATAGATAGAGGTGCTGACTACACGCATGAAATTCCCGGCAACAGAACGCTGCTCCACGTGGCTGCTCGGATCGATAATACTAGTGATACTGATTGTATCAAGTTACTCCTGCGGTTGGGATTGGATCCAAACGCACAGGACGCTAGCGGATTTACCCCCTTTCACGTAGCAGCCAGACAGAAAAATTGGTCTGCACTGCAGCTGCTGTTAGAATATGGAGCAAATCCAGAAATCCTAAGCAATGCAGGAACCACCGCGGTATTCGAATACATGGATACATTGTTACTTGGCGATTTACGCGGCAGAACGGACGATGTGGCTATTCCATTCTGGCCTATGGTGATAGAGACAATTCACCCTAACATAACGCCAGAGAAATTGCCGAGGTTTTTCACGATCACGAACAGTATGGGCAATGATGTACTGCCGATACACGTTAAAGACGCGCTGGCGTATTTTGAGCACGCCTTGGTTGGCAACCAGCCAGCGGATTTAAAGGACATCTGCCGACACGTAATACGTAGAGTTCTAACAAAGTGTTTTCACTCTTACCCGTGCATTAAACAGGTTGAACAACTGCCTTTGCCTAGGATTATAAAGGATTATCTTATTGAAGATGTTATTTTTATACCTTACATAATTAATACAAATTACTCGTATTAAATAATAACCGATACAAATGATCTTTTGTTCACTGTCTCATAAAAAAAGAAAAGAAATACAAGTCACCGTTGCGGGCCATAGCAATCTTATGATCTGTGATTTATTTCCCCTGGTTCACTCCGTCGTATAAGATGATTTATATTGTGCCGAGTTATTTTTGTCAATTGATTGATCTACTACTAGTATTATCTGGTCCTATTATACATGCTCTATGCATAGCGGATGCCTTCCGTGTTTTTAATCGCTTTCATGATACATGCGATACCACCTGATCTAATCTATTTTTGTCGCGGGTCATAGTTCAGAGATGCTGAATTGTTCGAGTTACCCAAATGACCACGCCCATATTTTTAAAGCAATGCCCACTTTTGTGAAATCGTAACTCGATGCTCAATTAACAGTCAACCGAACTTTGAATTACTAAATTAAAGATCGAGTTACTAAACTTGAATGTGGACGTTCAACAAAAATAAAAATGTATATTGCCCGATGTTCGTATCTCGATGCCCGTAACTCGAACATTTCATTAATGCTGACGTGGTACTGTGGTTCTTTGACGTGTGACATAGTTTTCATCAATCCTTCGGCGATATGGCATCTCTTGCTGGTAAAGTAGCTTTGATAACTGGTATGTATTTACACATGTTTGCTTGTTATGATATCGACAAACTGTATCACTAGATAGTTTCAGTCAACACGTGGGTTATTGACACCGAGTGTTGTCACCGCGGTTGAACCGTACGCAAGAATTCAGCTAAAATGCTCGAGCTAACAAGGTTGCATCGTCCGAATCGCACGTTTCCCGATGCTATTCATTGAAATTGCGAGATTCCTGGTGGAATATGTCGAATCGACGCCCTGTCAACTTAAACACTTTGTGTGCCCGTAGTAAGAGCTATCCAGAATGTGCGAAATTGTAGCCGTGACCATGATCTGCGATGCCTCGATCTGCCTCGTATCATTTCCGCATGTGACTTTCTTGATAGTCGAAGTCAGTGACTGCATGCTGATTTTGCTGACGCTTGAAAGGCTAGCGAACGCATATCTTTCTTAATTTTAGGATTAACTAATTTCTGCGAATCAATCAACGTTTTGCAGATTGTTTCTACCAAACTGATCATGAATGTACACACACAGTCCCTCTATATTTTGTGGAGGGATTGTGACCATGGAGCTCCATGCTGTGACACAGTACGGAAACCGTAAATAATTTTTTCCACGAATATACCGGTTAATTTTGGATTCAGAAATCATGTTCATAGTTGAGTATTAATAAAATGTGTTTATATGTCCATATACATTAATAATAATAATAATAATAATAATAATAACTTTATTGCATCCTTAGAAATACAATGTTTCTATCAGTTAATAGCAATAAAGATTAGTTGTGATAACTACTACTACAAAAAGAAAGTTAGTTGTTAAAAAAGATAAAGCAAGTGTTACATATCAAATGGTATTTTTATTTCTTGATGCATTTATACCTAGTCACAGTTTAATTATCGACAAATATACAGATGTACAATTTGTTAATTATATTGACATTAATCATAAATTTGCAAATGTTTACCCCAAAAGGCATTGGAATGTGTGCTATATTTATTAGTATTTGGTGTTAATTTTATTGATATTGGTTAGTATGGCTTGGGCTGGACAGTGCAATATTATTTATAGGTTAAAGCAGCAATATATTTTGAATATTTTTGGTTTGAATAAACCACATAAAGCTGCCACAAGTCTAATTATCACATAAAATGTGATGTGAAAACTAAGGGTTGAATAGTCGCCATTTTGTAGAAATCGGTCACATGACTGAAGAAAATTCATGTCACATGACACACTATTATGGAAAATGAAACATAAATTCACCAGTGAGAGGCAGTCAGAGAGAGCTTAGAGGCTCATCATGATGGCAACGTACTTGACATTTTGCCAAGGGTCCTCAGTAAGTTGTCATTTTGTACCATAATCCTTGATTTTTGTTTGACAAAACTAGATGGCGCCCTTTCGTGACCCAGACGCTACCCAGCAGCCATCTTTTTTTGCATGCAAATAATTTAACATGTACAACATCGAGATAGAGCGTATATGCTATGCTTTCAATGTCCACATTTTGGAGAAGGCCGGTATGAATTGACACTAACGACACAAAAAATGTTTTATAAATCGAACACAAAAAATGATAGTTACAGTTATTGTCGCTGTAAAGTTGCATCGCAAAGCTTTAGATCATCACATCGTTGATCCACTCCTGTTGTAAAATATAATAATTTGTTTATGTAATATATGATTTGAAACTGTTTAATTGGCTAATATACATGTACTTTTTTAAGGTAGACTGCTACACAAAAGTAAAAATATTGTCAAAAGAATATGAATTAGAAAAAAAATATGGGGTCACAGTACTCAGTTTGGAGAAAATTGCTCAATAAAATACTGTTAAAATAGCAACGTTTTGGAGCATTTTGGCATTGTCTTCCATGGCAAGGATGTATCTCAAAATGTTTGCTCGTTGATATATAGTGCCTTACAAGGTACTTTTTGATGTCTACATGTATACAAAAAATTCACACTATTTTTTTTATGAGGAAATGGGTTTTAATTGTGCTTAATGGACATCACTGCTAAATTTTACTGCATATTATTTTACTGTTTTATGCAAAAATAAGATTGGGACAGTGGCACATGTATATATATGCTTACATGTACAAATTTCAGGAATATTATACTACCTTAATGTAGTATGAAACTGACAACATATAATGGGATGTTGCATTTTATAATTAGCAGAAAATTATACATTATCCTGTTATAAGAGCGTTCAATGTAATATATAGAAATGAAAAATTATCAAAATTATTTTGTTTCAAAAGTATGACATTATTATTGATTTTGACACATGTCATCAACTTTTTTTTTTTGTTTTCACCCAGTACAAAGTGCAACAATGGACAATTTTAAAATTATTTCCAAAGAAAGCCATGTTAAAGCATTATTTCATAAAAAAAATAATAGTAATCATCCAAATTTCCTAATAATTCTTGACGACCATAAATACCTATCTTAAAACTACATTTAATTATTTTAAGATTTTTTTATTGTAAGAACCAAAAGGCTCTATTTTTATGGCTGTTTGAACTGTGTTACTTTTTAATAACTTCCCTGTACAAAATACATTAGTACACTGAAAAAATAATAGACCATTTTCCCGTTCACTGCGAGAATCACGCGTTATGCGTGAAATCGAACGTAAAAACAGGACAAACAAAGGTCATAGCGTCGTAGTGGCATCAAACGTCGCGTGGGATTCGACAAATGCGAAAGTATTTTGGGGACATTTCCATGCTTAATAATGTGCTGTCCACATTTGATGATAGGCAATTTTGATTAAGTAAGGGTATTCGGAAGCAATATTCCTCTGTCGAAGATCGGCCGGTCGATGTGAGCTACGAAATAAAGAAATTCGAGTTCAAAATCAAATCGTTCGATTTTTGCGGCAGACGTTCGATGCGCGTCTTTCATGCATCTCGCGAGATCTCGCAATTGTACGGAAAATCACCTATTGTTTCATGTCTTTATAAATCATGCTCAGATGAAAAGTCAACCAGACATGAATGTTTTTCACAAAATATTCACAAAATATTTTATAAATTTCTAATGATGTCGACATGACTATTCACACTGCCTCGGCAGTTGTATATCATTGGCATACAAGATAGGAAATCAGTCAATGATTAAAAAGAGAATAAATAACACTAAATAAACGGCATGGTAAATACTAAATTAAATTCTTAAATTCTCTCCTTCTTGCTTGCTCTGTATCTCTTATCTGATGCTGAAGCAGAAAATGAAAAATTGACTTGTGCGCTATGATTTTTAGTATTGTTTACACTCAATTCAACATACGTTTGTATTTTGTAGGTGCTAGTTCGGGCATTGGCGCTGGTACTGCCGGTCATTTTGCATCTCTAGGATGTTATTTGGCATTGTGTGGACGAAATGAAGAGAATTTACAGAAAGTAGGAACAGCTTGTGAAGCTAATGGTCTTGATAAAGATAAGGTATACCCCCCCCCCCCTCTTCCTGATTTTATGACCCAAGATTCAGCCAGCACCTCACACCCCCTTCCTCAATAATATATTCTTCATCGTATAATCTGTAAGTTTGAATAGTTACGAGCAAATCAGATGCAATGAAATAAATATTTGCTTGTAAATGTCAAAATCAAAAGTACATACTACACTATGTACTACAGTAAGATGTACTTTTGTTGTTGGCGTTGACAAGTACAAATTTATTTCACAGGCTAATTAACCATCTGCTATTTTTCATATTCTAGCTGCTCACTCAAAAATTCTGTGACTTAATTGGACTTACTTAATTGGGCTTTTTGATCATAATCTTAGGGACAAGCTGGATTGTGGTGTGTACTTTTATCAACCTTAACCATATCTATTTATTTAAAGCGAGAGGGTCGTCAGCTGCACACACACAGGAATTGAGTCCCAAGCGACAACAACAACACACGCTAAAAACACAAAGGCTCATTGGCAGGTGTTTGTTTGTAAACAATGACACGCTATGGCCATCTGACGCATGCACAGGTGACGACGACTCCCTCGATTTAAGTAAAGTAGATGACTTGTATAATAGGTAGCCTTCTTTAACATCATGAAAGGGTTTTGCTGAGTCCACCTCCTGGATGTTTTCTCTCTTCCAAACCACGATCTTCCAAACCAGGCTTCTAAACAGTACACTAAACTTCTTGACATTTATTTACCAACCCACCTAAATGAATTCCAGACCATTCTGGTAAAGAGGGAGAAGGACGTGTTTGCAGATATCCAATCCCACCTAAGCCAACCTATCACACTTTGCTCAGAGACATGTCTATGCTATTTAGGAGAATGTGTATCAAATGTCTAAATGCGTAATAAACAATCTCAACAACATCCTTTCATTGTAAACAATGACACGCTATGGCCATCTGATGCATGCGCAGGGGACGACTTCCCCGCTTAATGCTCGATCCAAAATGGGCAATAAATACTACCCAGATGCTATCAAGACTTTGTCTCCCCTCAAATCTCTGGCTTTGCATACTCCTATTACTGTAGAATACTTTATTTTAGCTGGAATTAATTTTCGCTGAAAGGAATTTTCGGGTGTTTTGTATGGAATTTATTTTCACTGATTTTTGACGAGTTGAATATAGGGAAAAAGGTATATTCACTGGATTTTATTTTCACTGAATCATTCCTTCAGCAAAAATAGCGAAAATTAATTCCAAGCAAAAATAAAGTTTTTTTATGAAGTAAATTTCTATTTTTTAGGTTTTGTTAATAGTAGGGGACCTAAGTAAAGAAGAAGACTGTAAAACTGCAGTTGAGAAGACAATCCAGCATTTTGGACAACTTGATGTGCTGGTAAATTTGAATTGCTAAATATACATTGTTATACATATACTTTGTACATGTGTACTTGTATATGCCATACTACACACTGAAAACTAGCAGATCGATAAACTGATTAAATTTATTAAACACACACCAGTGCGAAAACGATCCCCATGATGTTGTTAGTCGTTCTAGTGGTAACCAATTTTGTACATAACCAACTTACAGCACTGTAGTAGATATTCCATCGGTAAAGTGAACAAGTTTGCTACAGATAGGTGTATGTACTGTCAACAGCAATTTATAAAAAAATACAATAAATTCTAATGACCCTATAGCAAACTGCTTTCACGGTTTATTTTACACGAGAAGTGTTACAGTGACATTGGTTGGTCGTTTAACATTGTCCTAGAGAAAATGGCTGCCACCAGAGTTGTATCTCAGACTTGAGTTTACAACATATCTTTGTTTATTTTTTTTTATGGTGTTTAATAAATATATTATTGATCAATGATGGTTTCACTTGTGGGATATGAGAAAATATTTTTTTACTTTTATTTGTGATAAACTTATTATTACATTTTTTTTAGTCCGAAGTCCGAAAACGGGGACTTACAATTCAGTCTCCGTGCGTCTGTGCGTCCTTGGACCGATTCCGTTCATTCTTTGAATGTGCCTAGTACTTTATGTGGGACATATGCACATGCAGTGGTTTAGCGATTCGATTCAAAATGGCCGACTGGCAGCCATCTTGTTTTTTGAAAATGTTGTATTTTGGACATGCTTTGTCAGTTTTCATTCAAACTTGGTACATAGATTATACATGTTAGGATACATGTCCATGACGATTTATTTCACAAATGGATCAAAAATGGCCAACTGGCAGCCATCTTGTTTTTTGAAAATGTCGTATTTTGGACATGCTTTGTCAGTTTTCATTCAGATTTAGTATAAAGATCATACATGTTAGGATATATGTCCCGACTGTTCGTGAGTTCCTGAGTCTGTCCGTCCATGTGACCGTCCGTGTGTCAGTCTGTCCAGAGTCATATTTCAGAATCCTGTGGACCGATTCCGGAACACGTATTTTGATGTAAATAAACAATCTGTTGTATACGCCACTTGGAACTCAAGTTTCAAGGACACTCTCGGGACAACCCCTCCGCTTTAGTATGACGAGCACAAAAAGAACTTTCAAAAATTTAACGGGGACTGTGTTATTTTCAATGACTTGTTGTTTGTATGTATATTATGTACTGGTGCATTTGTAAAAGGGAAACGAGTTGGGTTTCATGTTGGTCACACCTACCACAATTGTCATTGTAAAGCCAACTAATGAACTAATTGTCACTGACCTCTGTTCATTTACTCATTTATAAACAGGTAAACAATGCTGGTATTCTGATTAATGGCACTATTGAGACAGCTACCTTAGAAGAATATGATACTATAATGAACATTAATGTGAGATCTATGTTTCACATTACAATGTTGTCTGTACCTCATCTCATAAAAACAAAAGGTTAGTACAACATGACCATTGGTGGCACATTTGAGCCAACTAGCTTAGAAGAATATGATACTATATTGAACATTAATGTGAGATCTATGTTTCACATTACAATGTTGTCTGTACCTCATCTCATAAAAACAAAAGGTTAGTACAACATGACCATTGGTGGCACATTTGAGCCAACTACCTTAGAAGAATATATGATACTCTAATGAACATTAATTCGAAATCTATGTTTCACATTACAATGTTGTCAGTACCTCGTCTCATAAAAACAAAAGGTTAGTACAACATGACCATTGATGGCACCTTTGAGACAACTACCTTAGAAGAATATGACACTCTTATGAACATTAATTTGAGATCTATGTTTCACATTACAATGTTATCGCTACCTCATCTCACAAAGAAAAAACATTAGCTGTAACTATTAATATTTTTTCTTCAATTTTTAGCTCCTGTGAAATGGAGCTTATGTGCTACCGATGTCTGTGAATCTGTTACTCTGTGACTAACATTTTTTCCACTTATAACTCAAGATCTACAATTTCAATTCAAATGAAATTTGGCACACAGCTAATATATGCATATTCATGCATATTAATTAGCTAATTATTGCATTAATTAATTTATAACTTAGAGTCTTTGAAATTTCTTAACAAATATTTGACTTGGGTGACTAGCCTAATTTGCATATTGCGATAACATATTCTGTCGCAAAAATACTGGTAATATTTCATTGAAGGTCTGAGTTTTAGTGTATAATGATTTAATATGTCATGACAATTTTTCAGTTTTACCCTCTCTGATTTTCATAAATGCAAGTTCAATTTCAGAGTCCTGTACAACTTTCTGCCAATCTTGATTCACAAATGTGCTGGTTACATGTACAGTGTTCTTCTTAGGCCTTTCAAGCACCACGAGCCCACAGTGCTTATACAAATAGCCGCACTACATTCGTTCTGCCAGTCATTCTTGAAATCCCGTCCATGATGCTTAAGTTGTTGTATTGTTTACAAGTGTCAGCCTCGTTTTGTAGATCTTTAAAACAATGACATGTATTGATAAGGTAATCCTGTCTCCGTTAGCCTTACAAAAACAGTGATAAAACAGAATTCTACAAGAAGTCTTTCGAGGGAGCGGGGCTCACAAAGTAATAATTTGCCCATTGCATCGAGAAAATCTATCCCGATTTGCTGCACTGCGATTAATTGCGGTTAAATAGTTGTTTACAAAAGATAAACTAAGCATTAGAAAAATAATTTAACATTGTTTACAGTTATAACAGCTCATTGTCGAAATAAAGCTAACCCATTCACGCCAGTCACAATAAACATGCTCTTGAATATAAACTTACTGGTGAATAGACAATTTTAGGCGTCAGAAAAGATTTTCAGGGCCACCACATCCTTCAGAAAGGGAACTACCGTTATTCACATGCCAAATTAATTTGCCAGGTGGGGGGGTTGGGGGGGTTAATCGGATAAATGACTAAAATGCTGTAAATTACTAAAATGCTGTAAATTTTGAGGGGACTTATACTCAAGCAGGGGTTTATACTTGGACATCTACAGTAATTACCAAGAATTAAAAAATAATGGTGAAATTAAGTCACAATGGGAAAAAAAATTAGGGCAAATAAATAAGTAAATAAATCAAAGCAAAAATTATTCAACTGCAGATGAGGTGGCTAAAGAAAAAACGAACCCTGACCTCTAGAATTCTTAATCATAGAGTGCCTCATTGCCAAGGGACGCCACTGAAGCGACATAACACATGTTTTGATGCATGCTGGGTTATAAGGGGGATTCCGATCGAGGTAACAAAGATGGCTGCGCAGAGTGCATGTTTAAAAAGAACATCTCATAATCGTCAATGAATCGTTTTAATTAACAAAACATTCTAAATTTGTGTATTTTTAAACCAAAAAGTCAGGGACTGATGATCACAACAGCAGCAGTGAATACCCATGGTGATCGTATTGTTACGCATAAGGTATAGATAGATCAATGAAAAATCGCTGACTTGAGTTTTGAAATGACGTTGTAGAAAAAAATGTCATTATTGATTTATTAATTTCTAAGGGATTACGTCAAAAGATCGATGTCGAATAAAAAACTTAATTCCTTTAGTTTTTTTCCAAACCCCCCTACCCCCCCACTGAAACTTAATTGATAAATATTGGTCATGGCGTCAGACTACATTCACCATTAAATACAAATTGATAATCGGACAGTAGTATTGCATAGCAGTTGGCTGTCGGGTGGGTGTAAAAAGATTTTACAAATGCACCTCATTTGACGCACAGATTTACACTCAAACCAAACATTTTTCTGTTTTTGCCCTTTTCGGTTATTTCTATCCAATCATGAACTACTTCATTAAAAAATAAAATCGTTTTTGTCGGATGGAAACTTTTTGAGGTCAAAACCCCCCATCCCCAAACTAAAGGAAATAAGTTTTTTATCCGACATCGATCTTTTGACGTCGTCCCTAAGTCATACTTAAAATGAATAAATTTTACGTTTTTCCGTGAAAAAATGACCAGAGTACCAGTATCTCTATACAAGCAGCTGTTTTCACAGTGATAGCACCCTCACATGTTTAATATTGTGTGATCTTTCAGATGTTGTCTCTATTACAGTTAACTTTCACAGTGCCCTTTATTTACCAGTATAGTGTCCTCACATGTTTTTCAAAATGCCCATATCAAAATCTAGTGTTTCTATATACGTCATAGTTTCTTGGACATCTTGATCAATTTTATTGATATTTGGTAAAAGTATGGATTGACCTACATTTACTTAAATTCACTTATTACGCAAAGCCTATACCTTTATAACATTTGCTCGGATCACACAGGAGCTATTTACAGTTTAACTTTGACTATTTTTAATAAAACATTTCTTGTGTCATTAGTTTCAATTTGCAATGGCCATTGCCAAAAAATAGATACGGAAAGCATAGCTTATACGCTATATACCGATGTTGTACATTTTAGTAATCTCTTGTATTAAAGTGAAAAAAGATGGCCGTGAGTCTAGGCCCTGGTCTACAGAGGGCGCACTCTATAAAAATCCAATTTTGTCAAGCGCACTTCAGTACAAGCTGACAACTTATCAGATGCCCTGGACATTGCCATCTTGAAAAGCTGAACCCCTCTCTGACTAATAATTTTATGCATCATTTCCTATATCAGCATTCATTGTGCATCATAATTTTTACAGTCAACACAAAGTGGCCGATTTCAACAAAATGGCGACTACTGGACCCTTACTTTTCACATCGCATTTTAAATTATAATTAATGGCTGTGTGTATTTTTGTCAATAACAATATTTCGGTAAGATTTGGCCATCTATATGTGGCTAAATTTAGACAAAAAGCTATTATCGCTTTACCGGTAGTATGACCTGACTAGTGGTGACATAATTCAGACAAACTCCACTGTATATTCAATTATAATTATAATACTTGTTATATAATACGACTATGAGCCATGGCACATTCTCTTTGATTTGTTCCATCAAATGATAAATCTTTGTCGTCACTTGTTAACTGAACTTTTTTTGCTTCATAGGATCTATTGTGAACGTCTCAAGTGTTGCTGGCTTGAGGTCGGTGAGTCACTTTAATTCTATATCAGATATTCATTTTTAGAGAAATTGATGTAGATCCTATTGCGAGTTAGTTTTCAAATAAACAATGTTACTAGCAAAAACGCTCTTGTATCTTTATCTTCCTAACCTTACAAATACATATGTATATATGTACTCCTTTATGCGAAGCACACAATAGGAGCCTTTGCAGTTAGTGCATTTGTCTGTGTCCGTGTCTGTGTGTGTATTTTAATGAAACATGGTACATAGATGCTCTGGGATAATGCTCAGACTTGATTAGATTTTGGTTTAAATATGTGCGTATTAATTACCTAATTTACATAATAATTAGCCAATTTGAATCATTTTATAAGAACCATTCAACAGATTTCAATGAGTCTTAAGGTAGCGAGACTATTATTTGTGTTGAAAATTACGATTTTCACATTTATTTATTAATTGATGAAATGCACTATAAACTTTCATGTGATAAAGTCAACATAACATAGAATGTCATGTAAGTTGGTTATAATGTAGATTTTCTGAGGGGAAGCAAGGCAGCCTCAGTAGTGTTTTCCAGAATCAACAACACAGGTTTAATCTGTGTGCCTATAAGTTTCAAAGATAAACTCAAGACAAAGCAATGTTAGGATGTGTTATCAGTAGCTATCTGACACACAATGAGTGTTTCCAAACATTTGAGTGGTTTGTCTTCGCCCCTGTTTGTTTCACAGATTAGTCATTTGCATATGAATGTTTCAGACACAAGGTCACACAGCCACTGAAAAAAATCATTGATTTTGGTGTTTTCATATGCCGAATTTATCCAATTATAGCTATCCCATTCCTTTATTTTTTTGGTTTCCAATAGCCTTACACATTTGGATGTCCCTACACATTTTAAAGCAGACCTTGATGGGAAAACAAATTGATTGTGCAGATAAACAAGCTTGAAAATCTTTGCTGTTACTTCATGGACGTTTTCTAGGAGTTTATGTTTTTCAAAATACAAGGTCTTTACAAAAAATAACGTATACTTATTGTCATCGGATTAATACCAAATTTTCACCGCTTTGAGGTGACAATGAGAGGAACTTGAATGTGTCCTGACAAACTATTTCATCGATTATTTACCAACGAGTTGTGGTTTGAGTTGGAGGCAATGCGACTAAAACAGTAATTGAAATTCAGCACACTGTTTTTTAAAACGCGTTGCTTGCATAAAACTGACCAGACACATTCAATTTATCAGACTATTGAACAACTAGAAAAAGTGAAAAAAATACTTCTTATCGCCAGCATAAATGCGTAATTATTTTTTTTACAGAAAAAGTAATTTTTCACCTTTGATTAAGTAACGGGTCATAGAATGCAGATACGGGCATGGCAAACACACCTTTGTAAAGCTTGAAGTCTGTCGATTCTAAAAATATATACTTTCCTGGGTCTATTTGTAGTCATTTGGTCACAATTAGAAGATGAAAACAAGTATGCAAATAATAGTCCCGCTACCTTAATACACAGATGCTCCAGGATAATATGCATACCTGATATGTTTTTTGAAACCATGCATTTTATTACCCTAATTTGCATATTCATCAGCCAATTTTATGCATTTTCACTTGATTCTCAAGAACCATTCAACAGATTTTAATGATTGATACATAGATGCTCTGGGATAATGCAGAGCCATGATTAATTTTTGGTTGAAATTCTTGCATATTAATTACCCAATTTCAAGCGTTTTCACTTTTTTTATAAAGAACTAGCCCTGACTGATTTTTGGTTGAAAGCCATGTCTATTAATGACCTAATTTGCATGTTAATTAGCAAATTTCAAGCATTTTCACTTGTGTCTCAAGTATCATTCAACAGATTTTAATGAAACATGATACATAGATGTTCTTGAATAATTCGCAAACCTAATTAGTTTTTCATTGAAATCATGTGATATGACTGTTTCAGATGACTATATATGGTCATGTGACCTTAATAATTATAATAATTTGGAACTGTAATATCTTAAAGCGGGGGAGTCGTCACCTGCGCATGCATCAGATGGCCATATCGTGTCATTGTTTACAAACAAGCATCTACCCATGAGCCTTTGCATTCTTAGCGTGTGTTGTTATCATCGCTTGGGACTTAATTCCCACACGTGCGCAGGCGACGACCCTTCCGCTTTAAGTACTGTTGCAGACAGCGATATGCAATTGATGCTATATTTTTGTTGTCTGACAAGATATATGACCAAAATATCAAGTCATCATATATGGTCATTATTTCATTAAATATTTATAATTGTTAAACCATAGCTGCTTGGAACCACCCTGAACATTGCATTTATATTTTAAAACACGTGCTAACTGTAAATACAAAGTAAATACAGTATTCCTTATTTGTACTTCATTCCTCCAATCCTTTTAGCACACAAAAGTTCTTTCTCAACATTCATTGATTAATTTGGTGATGATATCTTCAATTGAAATGTGCATTAAATTGCTAACAGTGAAGATATCTGAGCCGAGAGGCTGCTTGTTCAATTTACTGTTGCTTATGAGCTCTATCCTGCTGCTCAAAACAGGTATGTGGATAACCGGGTGATTCTATTACAAAATTTTCAGCACTGATTTGAAATACTGTTTCCATCGCTGTCGATGAATATAGTATCAATGTTTGTCTGTGTGTCTGTGTCAAGTCTTGTTACATCAATATCTCAAGAACCACTGGGTGGGTCGCGATGCAATTTAAAACAAGATAGTTTAACCCAGACCTTATAAGATTTTGGTACAAATCTTTGCATATTAATATGTAGGTTGCACTCTATAGAATTACCCAGTAACTCCTTTTTGCATGTTTTGTTAAAGTTCTAACAATTGGCTCAAATAGGTTAGGTTAAAACTTGCTACATGCACATTGTTTTGGTAGCGGAATGTCTAACCCTAAATTGGGAAATAATCAGCATGTTAATTAGCTAATTTGCATATTAATTATCTCCTTTTAGCATATTTTGTTGATACTGATGCATACTGTTTGTGTAGTTGATAATTTGAAAGAGATCTAAATATGTTAATTACCTAATTTTCATTCTAATTACCCATGTTCAGCTTGTTGCGTTGGCATATATGCTATAAAATCTCTGAAACTTTTATTAAACAATGTGTTCTAGTGAGAACATATGTGTAGAAGTAGTGGAATGTGTTTCTTTTGTTCTCACATTTGCATTTTTGTCAGATGGACACTATATTCAAGGGTTTTTACATGACAACCAAATGTTAAATATTCATAACTCATGAACATGGTACAGTCTGCAAGCCAATTACTGGCATCAAAGAAGTGAGTATTCATTCCAACAGGCGTTATGAGGTTATAGTTTAAAGCCGGCTGTATATGGTCATTTCTTCTTAGTACTTCTAATCTCAGTCTGGGTCAAAACTCAAAATTAAAACTGTCACATGGTCTATATCCAATGACTTATAGGGCTTTATGTCATATAATATGCTCAGAACTTGACTTGATCCTCAATGTTTCCAGAGTAAAGGCTTGGATCAGATTTGAAAACTGGGCATTTAGTATTTTTAAACCCTAGTGATGAAGTATTTTGATTGATCAAGAATCTCTCGACAGATGTAATTTAGCTCAATAGGATAATGATCTGGTAGTTGTGTTTCTATTTTAGTTTCCGGGTATTTTGCTTTACAATATGTCAAAGGCAGCAGTTGACCAGTTCACAAACACTGTTGCATTAGGTATGTATGACTATTGTATTATATTGTGATATAGAAATTATCGTTGTACATTAAATCATATCTGAACTGTGCCCGTATAAACTGAAAACCAGTATATACTGAACCCTGTGTAAACTGAAGCCTGTAAAATGAACTCTGAAACCAATAAAAACAATAAACCACATGAATTATGTGTGTGGGTATGAATTGATGTTTTAGCGAGTGTCTCCTAATATAATATTTATTTCTTTTTCAGAATTAGCTTCAAAACAAGTCAGAGTTAATTCAGTCAAGTAAGTATTATGAATTTAAACATTTAGTTAAACAAATAGTTATCAATTTAAGTGAACGTCATATTGTTCATTCAAATCAGGTCAACAAAACATACTACTGTTTATTTTATTTATAGAGAATAAATTAAAAAAAATACTTTCTTTCAAATATAACAGCTAATCACAAAATTAGATTTTTTTTCACAGAAATGTCAATAGTATTTCTATACATGATATACATATTCTTATGATTATGTTAGATGACTTCATATTGAGTTCTCCATATATTACACCAGTAGCATATTCTTAATAATTTCTGTATTTATTTACTATCATGGCTGTTCTGTATAATCATTTTCGATGGCCCATACCATATTTCATAAAAGTAATATGATTGGTTCTTGCAAGCAGTTTGAATCATTGACCAACAATCATTAACAACACCAACATTTTAGATTTGTTTGAGTATTTTATGTTTTATCAGATTTACATTTAGTCACATGTCGTGGTCACATTTTTTTTTTAAATGAGAAAAAATTAAAAGAGTTTATTTTGTGACAAAAGTTGACTGGTTAAGTCAAAGTCAAAGGGCTATTGTTAAAACAAGCCCCTGGTAAAGGCTCCTACAAATGTTTGATCTAGTAATGTTTCCAGGTAAAATAAATTATATTATATTACTGTCCTCGTAGTAAAGTGTACTGACATTGCAGAAAGTGATGAAAGTACCAGTCAGGAGGCATGCTTGAAATCCCATCACTGACAGTAGTTGTTTATCTGAGAAGGAAACTCCAACAATTCACTCATCTGAGGTTATTTCTCTCAGTGTATCTACACAACTAGTAGATTATTTTTAGATGCATATACTAGTTTGTGGCTCATGAACAAATGTAATAATTTGCATGGTGAATTTCTGAGTTATTATTTAGTATATGTGTTGATGGAGCTTGTGGCACATTAGCCTAATCCTTGTGATGTATGGGGCACAACACAGAGCCAGAGAGCAGAAAATATGTGCGGGTATAGGTAATTAATATTCCATTACTATAATCTGATCAAACTTGTTTGCTTTTAGTCCTGGTGTTATCATAACAGAAGTTCATAAGAGAGCAGGAATGAGTGATGAAAAGTATACTGAAGTAAGTTTATGACTGAGAAAGAAATACATTCCACACCAGTTGTTGAAAGCCTTCGAAGAAAAAGAATCATGGGAAAAACAGCATCAGATGGCGACGTGTTAATGATATTATTTCTCAACGATTCCATACTTCCCATCCCATACGTCTTAATTTGGATATCCTTTATCAATTTAAAAAAGACAGTTTAAGCTCATCCAGCCAATCATAAATCAGTTCGGAAATTAGCTTGTGGTTAAAAACTTTACCAGAAATATGTTAATATTGTCATACTCAGTTTAATCAAATAAGAAAGAAATGCAGAAAAATTCTGAAAGGCTATTGGTCAACTTATTTTTTTTATATGAAGATGATCTCTTTTATTAGTGATATATTGTGAGTATTTATGTATCCCTTTCAATAATCCATGTTGACAGCCCAGACATTGACTCAATGTTTGTCAAAGCTAAGTCTGTAAGACGCTTAGATTTATTCTTAATATGTTATGAGACCACATTTTTTAAAATGAGTTTGGGAAAATACGATATCATTGGTATACTTGAGTCCTCTGCATTTTTGTAATATGTTTAAACTTTATTATGCATGACAAATTGAAAAAAAAAAATTAAAGTTCAATAGGTTTTTTGTTTAGTTATAGTCAAACATTTTCTTCTTTGGCAGTTCTTGGAGCGATCCAAAACCACTCATGCACTTGGTCGTCCTGGTACCACAGAAGAAGTTGCTAAAGCGATAGCATTTCTTGCATCTGATGACTCCTCTTTCATTACTGCAACCCAGCTACCACTTGATGGAGGACGGCATGCAATGTGTCCAAGATAACTTCAATAATGTTGTTTTTCTTGTATTATTGCTGGCATATTGTATCGAGTATAGTGTGTTTGTGAAAGTCATTCATATTGCTCAGGTATTTTATGACATATATGCAGGAATGTCTCACTAAATACTGGAATAAATATCTCTGTTTTACAAGTCATTTTTGTGTCACCATAACTGATATTCCTGTTAATAGAATAAGGCAGGTGTAAGGTATTTATTCTTGAGATGTGTATGTGTGTGGCATCATCTATTAAGCATCAACTGCCAACCATTTGCCACAGTTGCTTTGGTACATCTGGTATCTCTTCTTCTATACGTTGAAACAATTAAGGCTGCTCTCAATAAACATATCACTTCATTGTCAGAACTAGATTGTAACTTCTGATTTATTTGGCGAGGGGGAGGACAACGACGATGATACTGCAGAAGGGGATGTATTAAGGTGGTTCAAGAGAGGTTTTTGCTGTTATTTAGTGCATCAAACTTGAGCATCAATTTAATTGGCGATGTCACATTCACTGCAAGATTTTGTATATTGCGTGAATGACGAGGACCAAACATCTGTCGCTGGAATTGATTTGTTTTTTATAGCTCAATATCAAAATACCGATTTTTGAGAGGGAAATACTATGTCCACAAAGTTGTATGGCACATTTCAAGCGTGAAAATACCCCAAAATTGTAGGGAAAGGTTCGGGTCGTGAAGTAGGGGAGACTAAGACGAGGTGTGTCTAGTTAGAACACAAAGCAGCAACTGATTTATTCGTTAAAACTAAGCATCTATTTACTGTTACATGTCAATATTTGTGCAAACAGAAATTGTAGGGTAGCAAGATGTTGCATAATACTTAAATCGTGAGAACAACATGTGTTCAGGCATCTGTTCTTATCTACACATCACACAATTTCTGACACTCCAGGGCCGGCCGGTTGAGCAGATAGATAATCGAAAGTAATAGTTAAACGAATAAGGTTATAAACAGAAATATAAAAATGTATTGATACAATATGAACTAACAAAAAATGTGACGCGACGCAAATACTCTAATTGAACGAATAGCACAACGAATTACAATTTGAATATTACATACAATTACAAATATTAAAAACACAATACTATAAAACATGATACGACTAGGGGGTAAAGTCTGTGATTACAGGTTATTCTACAATGAAATTTGGATTTGCAGTTGTGTACCTTAGCAGTTGAAACACTGTCTATAAATATCAATAACAACGACATATAAATTATGATTATCCAAAGCTAAAATTAATCTCAGAAAACCAAATAACAAATCATTCGATTCGCATAACCATGTCATCAATATATATATATATATATACAATTTGTTGGTCAGAGCGCCCTCTAGTATTTGTGGGGAATCATGTTTATTTGGAATGCTCTGATTGAATGGAAGTTCGAGCCTAGCAAGGTGTAATAGAATTGGCTTGTTATGTTCATATTCAAATAAGCATGAACCACAGGGAAGTAATACTTGTAATGCAGCAAGCTGTTTTAATTGCTGTTGTGGTAGAGTTTTTGACTGCCGTGTGCGAAGCACAAAAAAGGAGTCTTTGCAGTTAGTGTGTCTGTGTGTGTGTCTGTTCCACTGATATCTCAAGAACCATACATTGATTTTTGATGAAACTTAATGCATAGATGCTCTGGGCCAAAGCGCAGATTTGATTAGGTTTTGGTAAAAATCCATGCATATTAATTACCTAATTTGCATGATAATTAGCTGATTTTTAGGTGTTCCATGATCGTTCCACTGATATCTAAAGAACCACACATTGGATTTTGATGAAACTTGCATCTTGAATTTTCAAGGTGAATGTTCCGGCGAAGCACTCCACTATCACCTTGAAGTATTTCATTAGAACTATGTGTATGTGACAATGCCCTCACAGTTTAGAATCAGTTTACCAACAGCCAATCATATTGCTCCTTTCTACAACGCGCTTGGAAAGCTCTCAAAATCTTCAAGGCGGAGCAAAGTCACGAGACGCGCACCACTCTACCGTGTATTTCTATGGGCT